TAGGAGTTCATAACATGCTGGGCTGCCTTGCCTTTCTTGTGTGTCACGTTTATCAGAATTTGGGGCCCTGAAGATTCTTAACTGGTCTCATGAACTGAGCCAGGTTTGTCCCGTGATATAATGAAGTTGAGAGTGCGTCCTGGTTACCGACCCTTTCATAAAAACTGTCCCTTTATGACAGTTGCCTGTCATCTAAACCAGGTGGCGTGGGCTTCCACTTGAACAGCCCTCGACTTTGAGACAAATCATGACCCAGGATGCGTGCAGTCAACCGTGGTGTCACACGATCGGCCATTGTGTCTAGTCACTTTGCATGCCTGCAGAGTATATCAGAGGCTCTAGAGCACCAGGGCAACTCACATTTGATTTCCCCCCCCCCCAAGAGGTTTTTGCTACAGGGCACATGCACTCACCAGAAAGAGAGAGAGACAGACAGAAAGCGGGAAATCACCCCCCAGGGGTATGGCAAAGCCACAATCCCTTCTCCGTTTTCCTCTTGGGATCTTGGGCACGCACGCACATGCGCCCGGTGTGAGTTTTAAGCCACCGGGTCCGGAACACGAACTGTGGGCAATTACATGGGAGTCCAGCGACATAGCCATTGCGCTAACTGCTGGTCCCACATTTGATTTTCAAAAGTACAAAATATTAGTTGAAATATTTCACATTAATGAGTTTGTATTTTGGCTCCCAAGGAGCCATGAGGGGCCATGTCCACATGTACGGAAGTTTTCCTTTGCATTTTCTACTAACCTGCCGTGTGTCTTCCCTCTTCCTCAGTGGGCCAAGACTGCTACACGAGAATCTGGAGCCTCCACGATGGCCACCTGCTCAGAACCATCCCCTCCCCGTACCCGGCCGCCAAGGCCGACATTCCCAGCGTGGCCTTCTCATCGCGGCTCGGTGGCTTCCGGGGAGCGCCCGGGCTGCTCATGGCTGTGCGGCAGGACCTTTATTGTTTCTCTTACAGCTAATCTGCAAGGTGCAGCCTGGAGGGTGTGGATTTGATTTAAGGGCATATAGAATGGTTATCACCATTTCTGATGAGGACATTTTCAGTGATGCTCAGTGTACCAGATCCCAATCCATCTGGACACTTGAGGCAAGGCGGTAAATGTTCTATGTGAAGACACTTTGTAAAGTTATTTCAGTTAAGTTGTGGCTCAGAGAGCTTGAAAGTCCTTTTCATAAAAGGTACCTATTTCCTTTCCTTGTTGAATTCCTTAGAATAGTCCTCTGCCCTTTTTTAATTCAAAAAGACTTAATCATCAAAAGCTTTGGGGAAAAAGATCCTTTTATCCTTTTTATATTAAGGCTTTTGTCACAGGACTCATTTGCTCACTGGAGATAAGACCGAGACGGTGAGATGGAAAGTGAGAAATCACCCCCAACAGGGGATGGCTACACCACAGTCCCTTCTTCATTCTACTCTTGAGATTTTGGACACGCACACACGAGTGCCCAGTGTAATTTCCAAGCAGCCAGGTCCAGGACTCGAACCACGATCAACCACAGTGGGAGTTTTAATGCCTTAACCACCACGGTACCTGATGGCCCTAAAGAAGAGATAATTTTAAGTGATGGAAGTTTTAAACAATCCTTAACATGACTTCTATGAGCAGCAGTTTGTGAACTGTTTACAGAGTGTTAAAGAGCTTGTTTTCCTACTCAACAATGAACGAGAAGGCGGCGTGGTATGGCACGATGCTTCAGCTGCTGTTAGCAGCAAACCAGCTGCAGTGGTGCCACTACTCCAATCTTGGACAAGGGCAGAACAGAAGGGTAGTGACTGGGACCAGCTTTAATCTCTCTGCCTCTTCTGACCTCTCAGCCCCTCTCCATGCTGCTCTGTGCAGCCCCAAGAGACTGACCTGTGACTGCGCAGAGCTCCCTGACCCCCCCTGGCAGCCAGTGGAAGTCCAGCAGAGAGGCCAGGGAGCCACCTGAAATACACGCAGCACACACTAGTGCCCAAAATCTGACTGGCTGGAGGAACCTGTGAAGGGTACCTCTCTGTTCCTCATTCATTCTCATGAGCACATACTCTCCTGAATATAGAAAGCATTTTTAATTTTTTTAATTAAAAAAAAAAAGAATGAGATGGGCCAGCAGATGGCTTGGAGCTTAAGGCAGCTGGATCCTAAGTGGCCAAGTGCATGTATGCACGCGCACCCCAAATCCTGAAAAGGAGAAGGGGTCACAGAATGGTCATCCACCCAAGGGGTGCTTTATCACTTTATCTGCTATGATTTTACATGACCTATAGCAAAAAATTTTTAATTAAAATTTTAAAATAATAAAGAGAGGTGGTTGTTAGTTCCCTGGCTCCCTCCCTGCTGGGCTATGTGTGGCTGTCACCAAAGGCCTCAGCTTCTATTGGAAAGCCTTCCATTCTTTCTGGGTTCCAGTTATTTCTTCGTCCCTTTAGACCTACTGCTGGCAATTGTACCTCTCTGTTGCTAGCCCCAGGTGTTCCCTGCCAGAGCCCTCATTCACTGTGCTATACAGAGAACTAAATCAGATTGGTTATGGGATGGATGAGCTTCATGTTACAATAAAGATTTAATGTCATGTTTTATAAAGAACTTAGTTCATTTTATTTTATATTATCTTTATAATAAGCCATAAAGGAAATATGATGCTAATAATACAAAATTGTTAGCATCATTTTCCAGATTTTAAAAAGACACAGAGCGGGACCAGTGTGGTGGGGGTGCTGGGTTCCCACATGACCATCCATGGATCAAGTCCTGGACCTGGTGGCTTGCTTTCTTACTCTCACTCTCTCTGCCTCTCTCTCTGGTCAAATTGAAGAATAATAAATAAATTAAGTCAGTCCTTTTTTTTAAGAATTATTTTTATTTTAACTTTATTTTTTGTTTATTTATTTTAACTTGACCACAAGAGAAAGAGAGAAAGAAAGCCACCAGATCTGGGACTCAAACCGTAGTCGACCACATGGGAGTCTAGCATCCTTAACCACCACACCAAATACATAATTAAAAAAAAACAAAAAAAAGACAGTAGCCACTGACTTGCTTCACATCACAGATCTACTAAGTGAGGTTGTGTGCTCTAGTTTTTATGCGTCTCTAGCCTGCCAGAGAATACTTGTGTATTACAGTGCTGTAGAGAAATGAAGTGGCTTCACAGATTCTAACATCTCTTTTAATTATCAGGTAAATGAATTTTTCTGGCACTTGGCAGTAGGAAAAAGCTCACTATCCACCACCAGAGTTTTGATGTGTTCAGTTTAGATTCTGTCCTTGTGACCCTGGCACACAGGCTTGCACATGGTGTCCTCCGAAATACCTATATACATGAAGGGTCCAGATGGCTACTGTCCCTACAGGGTCTTGTGGATTAAGTTTAGTGACAGGACACTGCCAGAAGCACAAACAGAAATGCTGAGGCATGATTTTAACATTTACCCATGCCCTTTTTATTTTTTTAAGGTTTTTGCCATAGGGTCACGCACTAGCTAGAGACAGAAAGTGAAAAATCACTCCCAGGGTAATGGTCATCCCACAATCACTTCTATATTCTCACCTCAGGATTTTGGGCACACACATGGCGTGATCTTCAAGCCTTCAGGTTTGGGACTCAGATCATGGTCAGCCATGTGGGGGTCCAGCACCTTAACCACCTGCTGGCCCCCACCCATACTTTTAAAGTCCCCATCATATTTGAAGTTTTCACACAAGCTTGTACAAACACATTGTTACAGGGTCTGCAGTTAGACTCACCGGTCTTGCACATCAATTTCAAGCATTTCCCATGGTTCTGTACTGACTGTCGAATGGAGGTGTGGTCTGTGGGTGACTGCTTAGTTCACTCGACCTCTCCCCAAACAAGAGACTATCTGACCACCTGAGAATACCACATGAGTTCCATCCAGCAGATGGCCCTGTCCTCTTGTACCTCATTAACTCCTTTCACTCACGTGGTGTCATAGTCCAGATTTCTTGCTTAGGCAAATACAATAGTAAAATGGGACGCTTTAGATTTTCCTTAGGCTAACCAAAAGCTTAAGGCCCTCGTTAACCTTTGCAGCATGTTCCTGGTACTTATTAGCAGTCACTGCACCTGACATTTTGTGCAAGTTGGCCGAAACTGGTTAAACAGGTAAGAAGTTGAGGAACCACTAGGGTCTGTGTGCCTGCTAGGCTTTTCACTCAGGCATCTTGGCATTTTGCCCTGCTCCCCAGGTGACAGTGAAGGGTAGAGAACTGGCTGGTGGTTGTGATAGCAGCCCTGAGCCCTGCCTTATGTACACCCTGCCATTCAGCCTGGTGCTTGCTTGCCTCTGGCCTCCCACACAGAACACCGGCAAAGGCTCCTGCTCAAAGATGCCCACAGGTAAATACCTGGTGCACATCCCATGTCCTGTAGACAGCCTCGAACTCAGCTGTTCTGACGTGCTTTGGAAGGCACTGACAGCCTCCTAGGTGCCCCAACAAAGGTGTCCAGAAGTGTTCTGTTGGGTTTTTTGTTTGTTTGGTTTTTTTAAGAATTATTTTTATTGATTATTCTTAAATTTGACCAGAGAGCAAGGGGGGGTGGGGAGTGAGAAAGCAAGGTCCCAGGTCCAGAACTCAAACCAGTCGACCATGGTGGGAGTCTAGCCCCCTTAACCACCATGCCACCTTCCAGCCCGAGCAAATAAGTCCTAGATCTGTCCTATTCTAGATTTTCTACATAAACAACTCCAAAAGCAATTTCAGGCTAAACTCAATTTCTCCTTCCTTCCACTTCTCCATTTGTGTATGTTGCTAAAAACTCCTAGTTCCCCTCCTTCACATCTGCCCCTCCAGTCTACCCTCTGTACAGCCACGATTTCAGAAGGTCCCTCCTGTTTCTGCCTTCTGTGCCTCAGGGTACAATGTGTGGCCTGAGATGGTTGCAGCTGCCTCTCCAGCCTGCTGCTCTCAGGACACACGTTTCTTGAAGTTTCTCCCATGCACACTGTGACCCTCAGCTGGCCTCTGCTCAGCCATCCATTTTTCATCTGGAGAAGGCTCCACTTGGAAGATCTCTAGGCAGTTTTTGTTTCCTAGCACTTGACACAAGAAGAGGAAGTATGTTGGACAATTTTACCAACATTATTTGCCTTTTTTTTTTTTTTTTTTTTTTTTTTTTGCCCAAGTGCACATGTGCTCACTGGAGAGGGAAATTAAGAAAGCACTTCCTGGGCCAGTAGGTGGTGTGGGGTTTAAGGTGCTGGACTCCCACATGTTCAGCCACAGTTCAAGTCATGGACCTGGTATCTTGCTTTCTCACTTTCCCCCTCTCCAGTAAGCCCATGTGCCCTATAGCAAGTAGAAAAAACAATGGTAATAAGCAAAATTAAATCTTAAAAAGCACTTCCTATTGGAGGCATGGTGACAGCACAATCCTTTTTCCATCTCCCCCTCCTTTTGGGATTTTGAGCTTACATACATATGCACCCACCATGTTTCTCAAGCCACTGGGTCCTGGATTTGAACCACATGGTTGGCCATGTGGGATTTGGCTGCCTTAACCACCAGCCCTTCAGGTTTGTTTTTTTTTTTTATAGGGCACACTGGGGGAAAGGGAGTGAAAAATCACTTCCCAGGGGAGATGGCCATGACACAGTCCCTTCATCATTCTCGGAATTTTGGGTGTGCACACGTGTGCCTGGTTTTTCAAGCTGCTGTATCTGGGACTCTGACCAGTGCATGCTCCCTGTAACAAAAACTAAAAAATAAGAAAAATCTTGGGTTCAGTTCAACCATTTTTCCCTCTTTACAATGCCACTAGCCTCAGTCTCCTACAGACAACTTCTGGACTGGGTATCCTGTCCTTGTTGGTGTGTCCCTGCTTGCTCCCATTGCCCACCACCCACGTGTGCTGTTGACTGCATTTGAATAAAAGCAGCTGCTGCAATACCCATAGGCCATCTCTGCAGAGGCCGTAACTGCAGCACAGGCACACATACTAATGCTGCTGACAGCCCAGGGAGCCAGAACTGAGGAGACACGGTGACTGGCAAGTTTCTGCTTTAGCTGAGTGGCAGTATCTTTGGGACATCGAAGAGAGCTGTCTAGGGATTGGGCCAGAGCCTTAGAGGTCCAGGCTGAAGTTAAAGGTACCAGCAGTCTAAGTTGGCAGTGGAGGACAGCAGGAGAAAGCACTCAGGATGGCATCATATATTAGTAATCTCCATCAAGCATAGAAAGACATACTGTTGTCTACGAAGTTTCAAAAATGGCTCTGGGGAACCAGCAGTTAGCGTAATGGCTATGTCGCTGGGCTCCCACGTGGTCGACCACGGTTCAAGTCCTGGACCAGGTGGTTTAAAACTCACGCCGGGTGCATGTGCGTGTGTGCCCAAGATCCCGAGAGGAAAATGGAGGAGAAGGGATTGCAGCGTGGCCATGCCCCCTGGGGGGTGATTTCTCGCTTTCTGTCTCTATGTCTCTGTCTGGCGGGTGCCCGCGCCCTATAGTGAAAATCTCTCCAAAAAAAAAAAAAAATGGCTCTGGTCATTTGAGCCTCTCACTAAATTACAGATTCTCTCTAACCCCTAAACCATCCTTCATAGCATATGGGCTTTAGTGCTCACGAGTCTGTGACAGTTTCCTAGGCACA